TGTTAGCTATGGCCTTCTGTCAATACAACTCTTATTAAACTTAAAGCACACGCTCAGATAGAAAATACCAACAAGAACACATCCACTAAGATGGAATCTAGAACTTACTTCGACTTGAAACAGTTCTCCAGCCCCTTCACAGTCATTGGATGTTATTATTGGGGTATGAATATGTATAAAGCCATTGTCCTAGAAAGAAAAAAACAACACACCTTTTAAAGCTAAATTTGCATAAGAAACAACCTCAAGAAGAAAGCATTACCATACTGTAATAACAAAATGACATAAGGTCATATCAAATCCCTCACTAACCCCTCAGCTGAAGGTTTACTATGCACATTGGCAGACAAGATTTTAAATCAACAAGAAACATAGACATTAACTACTTCAACCTGTTCATTTCTAAACTAGGGAGCTTGAGGTCTAGAGAAATTTAATGACTTCACAAGAGTCACACAGCTATTTCTCTATTATGAGGGGGCTTAAGAAAGTTCATGGAAAAATGGAATTAAAAAAGAATGAATTCTCCTACTAACTTTTTAAAGTCTTCTTGTATACTCCAAACAAACCTCCAAGCTATCAAGGTTTGCTATCGAGGCGATTCTATCTAATAACAACTCTATAGGGCAGGGCAAACTGCCTCTGTAGGCTTTCTAGGTAATATCTCTTTTTGGAAGTAGAAAGACTTATCTTTCTCCTGTGAGGCAGGTGGTGGTTTCAAACTGCTGGCCTTTTGGTTAGCAGTCCAACTCATAACCACAATACAACCAGGACTCCTCTCTTGTGTACCAGCGGTGATTACAAAAAAAAAAAAAAGATGCATGCATGTGCACAAAGTTCTTGGTCCTCAGCTATGCCGTAAGATTACAAATAGCCAGAAACACACACACACACACACACACACACACACACACAGACCTAATGCATAGTGATGTTGCCCATACTGTTAAGGAAATACAAAGTGATCAATATGAAGTTCTGTTATTTTGGAATGAGAACCTCAATTGTAATGAGCCACTAAAACAGAGAAAATTAAAGTTGACAAATAGGGACTGAAGAAATAAACAGAAAGTGAAGAAGGCAGAAATAAATTGTGGGATGTCTTGGCCATTAAATGACCGCAAGGGGCACCGCGTGTACACCTCCTCTGCCCGAAGAAAGATGTTGAGTGGCAAATCCATCCATTACAGAGGCGCCCCATAGCAGCTCTTCCGTTCTAAAGCCTGAGACTATTTTTCCATTAGTAAACCACAAAGTCTCTGCTAGTGGGGTTGAAATAACCCAGCAACTTCAAGGTTATGCTTCATTCATTTTGACTGTGATGTAGGCCAAAAGTTACAAACTGTACCAATGTTGCAGGGTGGAGGTGGAAATAGATAATACTTGAATTTATACTTCAAAGCCAGAATACTAGGTGCTAGGCGGTGGATTCCACTGTACTGAAAACTTTGGCCATAAGATCAGCATTATAAATTCCTATACAGTGAACCCTCGTTTATCGTGGTTAATCGGTTCTAGACCCTACCGTGATAAATGAAATTCCGCGAAGTAGGATTCCTTATTCAAGTCGAAATGGCGTGCAACCTCCACGATTTTCTTGCCATCTTTGATCATATCCAAAAGTTTTACCTTTTCCAGCATCTTCCTCTGGCGCTTATTTTTATTGTCAGAAGGCTTAGAAGAAGCAGCTCGTTTAGGAGCCATCATAGGGCTTAAATAAAATTTCTTAAAAATCACAATTACAGTACACTGTACAAAAGCAAAAATGCATCTGATATGTAGCTCCGATACGTAGCGATGCAGACAGAAGCGTGTACAGTATGAGCCAATCAGTGACAGTAATGACAGAGCATATGCTGTTACGCAAAAACTGCGATAGAGTGAAGCCGTGGAAGTCGAAGCGCGAAGTGGCAAGGGTTCACTGTATACACATCTAGTCTCTGCCAAGTGCTGCTGACAGCTGGTCGAGTATAAAATGTCCCGTATGTCACCAGGCCCTGGAAAAGTCCTCTTGGCACCACTCACTCTCTCCCGCGTGCTCCTGTCAAGGTAGTTCCAGAAATCCACAGGAGCGGTTCTACTCCAGAGTACGCAGGTACAGGCGTTGGAACTGACTTGCGGGCAGTGGCTTTGGGGTTGGTTCTTCCTGAAAAGGTTGGATTCAAGCATCCTGGCTCAGCACAAAGTTTTAAGTCAAAAATGGGCCATGTGATATCGACTGATTAGATATTCAAGATACAAAGTAGTCTCAGAACGTATTCAAATGTGTGCTGAATCGGAGAGCAACTGTGCCTAGAGGCCCTGCTCAGAGTACAATACAGGGAACCAATGAACCTGAATCAATAACATTACTGCATACAGTTTTCATCTGCTGGAAGCCAAGAATTATGGACATGAATCATTTATTCCACATGAAATGCGGGCAACCATGAGCATGAGTGCAGTAAACAAAGAAAGGAAGTGAAAAATCCAAAGGAAATGGTGGGGGGAGCGTAAGGGCTAAATATAATTGCCTAAGTTAAAACTGTCTAATGCCACAAGAAACTGGAAACCGTAGGGAAAGCACTGCATGGGATATTGAAAAAAAGAGAGAGACACACACAAGTCATGGGAATTCTTTTTAAAAACTGAACTCATGTTAATTAAACCTTTCAAAAGAAGTCACCTACGCTTTAAGCTTTAGTGCTGCTGGCAGGGTTTATCAAAGTCCACAGCTTTACCAAAAGGTACAAAGAGAGATTACCAAGGGAGAACAATAAAGCAGTTAGAACAAAGTTCAAAAGGGAGCAGAGCAGGGCGGCCCCAAGGTAAGGAGGGGAGTGAAGAGGGGAAGGGGTGGGGTACCCTCAGCAGCTGCCTCCACTGCATTCTCCAAGCAAACCCACAAAGCCAAACCCACTGCCAGGATGGAGCCCCCCTCCTCACGGCCTCCGGGGGAGTAGAACTGCTCCAGTGGGCTTCTGGGGCTGCTGACCTTATGGGAGCAGAGAACCTCAGCTTTCTCCCAGGTGGATTCGACTGCAGCCCCAGACGCACTCACTGTGCCTTCTGAGCTCCTTCCTCACAGCAAACAGCTAAAGAGGCTAAACAATGAAGACAAACTCTTTTACTCAATTTTCCGGATTCGACTTAGCACCTCTACGTTTGTAAATATTTTGGCCCACACACACCAGAACAAGACTTTTTATGAGACGTTTGAGTATCCCAATGTTAAAAAAAATGCACGTTCCATGCCCAGGCACATCATTCAAAGGAAATTCATTGAGACTCTATTTCCCTCCCCACACAGCCCAAATAAGTAACATCACTTGATCAGAAGCAAAAAGAAACACAAGAAAAACGGCCAGCCACAGGCATGCCACTGACAACAAGAAGTGACAAAACTCTCCACAAAAACCAGTTATAGGAATTCAAAGGCACAGCCTGCAACAGACAGGCTTTGAGGGCACCGCCATGAGGATGAGGGCAAACTTGACAGAGTGAGCCTGGAAGCCACCAAGGCAGGAGAGGAGACTTTTCTCTGGGCTCCATTTAAAAAGGCAGGGTTGTGTAGAATACATTTTAAGCACACATCGACTGAACTTTACATAAAATTTGTGCCCAAATACATCCCTCGTTATCTGAGAAACTCATTCTTCTAAAGGGCTCATTCCTAGGGAATTGTACTTAGCCGAGTTGTACTTAGTACACACAAATGGTTTGATTTTATAAGCAAACCAAGTTATGCAGATAAACCAAAAAATAACTAGATCCATATGAAAGGGTCCTAACTGAAAACGTACAGGGTACGTTCCTCCCCCACCCGACCCCTGACTTCTATGCTCTTATTGATGGATTTGAGATATATGGACAGTTCACATCTAAAGCTTCTCATCTTTGGGGGAGTCAAAAGTAACACGCCAGAAAGAAGTACCAACTACTTGGTGGTGATGCCCTTGAGCAAATCCCAACCCATGGCACCCACGAGACACAGCACAACCGCACCACGGAGTTTCAGCTAGACGGCTCACTGGGTAGGAAGTACCAACCTCTCGGTAAGCAGCCAAATGCTAAGCCACTGCACGGCTAGGGCTCCTTACCAAATACTACATACAACCCCCAAATCCACTGCAGTCGAGTCCATGCTGACTCAGTGGCCCCCCAAGGCCGAGCAGAACAACTCCCCGGAGTTTCTGAGGCTGCACATCGTTCTGAGAGGAGCCAGCCTCGTCTTCCTGCAGCGGAGCAGCTGTTGGGTCCCACCACTAGGTAATGTGTCATTATTAGTTTAAATACCCTACAAATACGCCAATGACTCCTTTAAACATTTCAACTCTGAATGTCTCACATGTAACATTTTATAGAACAAGGTACCAGGATCCTTTTTTTACTGTTAAAAAGTATTTATAGCACTTGTAAAGTGCCCACCTTTCTAAAGTACTATCACCAACAATGCTAAAATACAAGGGTTTTCTTTCCACTCAAATTAAAAAAAAAGATTTACTTCATTTATTTTCATGCTTTCAAATTTTTTCAATTTCTTTTCTTATTTACCCCCCACCCATTTATAAAAGCTTCAAGTAACAAGTTATAAAAAAGGCAAAGTCCACTTACCAATTGATTGCCAATACCACCACCTAGTGGCCACAATCACCTAGTGGCTTGCACACCCCTGGAAGCTGTGCCAAGGGCATTTAAAACGCCAGCAGGGCCACCCAGGGCAAATGGATTTTAGTGGAGCTTCCAGGTTAAAACTGACTCAGAAGAAGAGCTTGGAAACCCGCTTCTTAAAATAATGGGCCAGTGAAACCTTTATGACCAGCAGTGGAAGAAAATGAGTCCCTGAGCTTGAGGACATTTAAAATACCACTGGCAGGGGCTGCTCCCTCCAAGAAAACGGATCTTAAATTACGTGGCTGGAGGAATGCTTTCAGGACCTTCATTTGCTGAGGTGGCATGACTCAAAATGAGAACAGCTGAAGACACCCATTAGCATTCGAAACATGGGCTGTACAAAGCAGGAATCTAGGGAAACCGGAAGTCGCCAAGGAGGAAATGGGAGGGCTGAAAGCAGGCATCAGTGAAATGGACTCGCATGGCCCTCTGTTCTGGTGGCTATTCCAAACTGCACAGGGATAGCACCCCATTCATCTTCACACGTGATTACTGCCAGGTCTACTCTGAAGCAACAGTCAGTGGTAGGATAATGTCCATCCAAGTTGCTACGGCTACTATTCAAGCTTACCAGCCAAAGATAAAGAAACTACAGATTCTCACACACCTTTTCAGTCTGAAATTGATCAAACAGGCAGTCAAGGCACATTGAAAAGTACTAGTGATTGTAACGCAAATATTGGAAACAAAATAGACTCAGTAGTTAGAAAATATGGCCAAAGTGATAAAAACAAAGCTGGAGAGCTCATGATATAATTTTTCAAGACCAATAACATATTCATTGAAACTACTGTTTTTTTCAACATAAACAGCTATGATACACATGGATCTTGATATATACAGGAAAAAAATGGATTAGATCTGTGGAAAGAGATGGAGAAATTAAGCATCAAAAGTCACAAGGAGCCCAGGGGCAGAGTGAAAAACAGACTATCAACTGCTCACACACAAGTTCAAGTAGGAGCTGATGAACATTAAAGTAAGTCCATACGAGCCATAGTCCAGCGTGGGTACAGTATATACTACCTGCAATAAGGAGAGACTATCTCAAGAGGTTGGACACATTAAGCACAATGAACTCAATGCCAGATGATCGTGGGATGACTTCAAGGGAGTTACACAGAAAGAAAACAGAAAGTCCTTTACACAGAGAAAAAAGGACAGACCAAAATGGGTATTACTGGTGTAAAGATTCACAAGTAGATCAAGCGAACAAGATGGGATCCAGAAAGAAACCCAAACATATGGACAACTGGTTTTTAACAAAGGCAACAAAGGAATATAGTGGGAAAAGGTCAGTTTTTCGACCTGTGATCCTGGAATAAATAATAGCGTATCTATATGTACAAAAATAAATTTACACCTCACACCATATGTCAAAATTAACTAAAGTGTGAAACTTAAAACTATAAACTGTCTAGAATACAATATAGGATTTGGCAATCTTTCCTTACATATGACAACAAAGACATTCTTAAAAGAACAAACTGATAATTTTACTAAAAAATTAGAAACTTCTGCCATTCAGTATTCTACTGAAAACATAAAACAAAACAAAACAAAAAAACCCCCTAACCTACATTTTCAAGAGAAAACTTTTGCAAAGTGGCTATCTGATAAAGAACTTGTGTCCGGAATATACAACGAACTCTCAAAGCTCATCACAAAGAAAACGCACAATGCAAAAAAACGGGCAGAATAATTGGAAGAAAATCCCACTGAAAAACCACATACAGACAGCAGCAAAGAAGCGCATGAACAGACATTGAACATTACTAGTCATTAGGAAGGCATCTCTCACTACTAATTAGAGTGGCTACAATTACAAGCCACTGTTAAGTGGGAGCAGGGATGTGCCAACACTAGCACTCTCCTGTGTCTGCTAGCGATGTAAAACCACTTTAAGAAAACAGTTTAGAAGTTTCTTAAAAAGTTAAACACACATCTACCAAATAACCCACCCATTCCACTCCTGGCTATTTACACAAGAGAAAGGGAAATGGACCCGTCTGTCTGTGAAAGGCCTGTAATAAATGCTCACAGACATTTTATTCGCAAGAGCCCCAAATCTAGAAACAACCCAAAAGTCCACCAACCGGGTAAACATATAAATAAACTGTGTGGGTTTATCTATACAATGAATACCATCCAGTAATAGAAAACAGAAACCTATACATGTCAACATAGGCGAATCGCAAAATAATGATGCTGAGTGAAAGAAGCCAGGCCCCACACTGCACCAAAAACCTATATATTATGGAATTCCATTTATATAAAACTCTAGAAAATACAAACAAATTTATTACGGGGCAGCAGATAGGTGGTTGCTCGGGGATGGGGAGGGTTAAGGGCCCAGGGCAACTTTGGGGTGAAGGCCATCTTCCTGATCTTGGCTGTGGTAAAAAAGGTTTTGCAGATACATACATAGGTCAAAAGCTTGCCAAATCATACACACTAAATACATATAGTGACTTTGTCATTTGTTTTTTAAAAAAAGGCTTTTAAACAAATACTACACTCACACATACATACTACATGCACACGAGAGACGAGAGAAGAGACAGACAAGAGAGGACGAGAGGTGAGACGACAGAGACGAGAGACACACAACAGCTGCTGGAAGCAGGCGCCTTACCTTAAAGAAAGCATGAATGGCAGCCGTGGCCTCACTGCGAACCCTCAGTACAGCGCCCACAACATTCGTTCTGCAGCGAAGGTGTGGGTATTGCCTCACATATTCCAGAGGATTCCTCTCTTTGTATTTAAAAGGGAAATTCTGCCGATAAAAAGAAAAAAATTAATTAAAATGTAAAAATGATACTATTTAATAAAATCTACTGCCAGGGCATTTCTTTTCTTTTAAATAACTTTAATGGCATATAAGGCCCCTAGCACACAATTCAGTAGTTAAATCATAGTAAGAAAGAGTTGTGCAATCATCACCAAAATCAATTTTAGAACACTTAATAATCATTGTTATTAGCTCCCCACCCCCCACCGCCAACCTTCCCTACCATGCCCCTCAGTAATTATTAATCCAGTTACTGTCTCTGTAGATTTACCCACCCTGGATTTCATATACAGAAAAACATACAAAACAAAAATAAACAAACAAAAACAATGATTAAATAAAACAGAGGAAAAACCTCAATCAAAAAGAAAGTACAAAATATTAAAAAATTGAAAAAATGTAACAGGGCCTTTAATAGCAGTGCTTTGGAACAAAACTACGATGCTTTATTTATTTCTGAAGCAACTGCTTATAGGTCCCATGCTAATGCCACCAGGAACGTAGAAGGGTGGGTGGAATCAGAGAGAGCTGGGTTTGAAGTCTGCTCCAATGTCTTGGAAACTTGGCACCCATAATCCACTGGCGATGTTACGAACATGCTGACGGGTCTACGAGCCTAAGAAAGGATGAGCAGCCTTCTTTGCTGGGCAGAGCACTGCAGACACCGGGTAAAGCCCACGCTTCCCATGGTCACATCACAATACGGAGCACAGAAGCCTCTCTTCAGATAGAGAAGTTTCAGTGTAAAAGAGAGCTTCCGTTTAATACTGTCTCTTCCTCTTAGGCCTTGGGCACATACTAACTTATATGTTCTATAGAAATGAGCACCATACTCATAAAGTGAAGATGTGGCCACATGACAAAAATCTGGGGATTGCCAGAGGTTCTGAATTCTCCTATTTGGATACTTCAGAATCACAGCGAACTGAAGGGGAAGGAAGATGAGAACAGCCGCATCAGCCGCATCAGCCGCATCAGCCACCACCAGAAGCCGAGGGAGAGCGAGGCAGGTACACAAAAACGGCAACCTTTTATCAAGGGACTAATCACATCATCACAGTAGTTAACCAACGACTATCTTTCCATCACTGTCAGTCTTTTCCCCCCAGAAATCTTAGGACCTGACTCCCGATTTTACGTGCCCATTAGAAGTAAGTCTAACAAGCCTCTGCAGCAGGTCAGAAAGCATACCTTAGGATCACAACTCCCAACAACCTCAATTTTTTCTGCCTTCAGTTCCACATTTTGCCTCTTGTATGGACTGTCCACCAGCTGTCCTTGAACTTCCACAGAACTCCCGAAAGTCAGTTCTCTAGAGTAACAAAAACACACACAAGCCCCTGAATGAACCCAAGTAAACACAGTATCATCACATGTAACCCTCATTTTAAAGCAAATCTTGTTGTAAGAGCAGTAAAGTAGTCAATGATATAAATGTTTACACTTCATTGGGCTAATCCTTCCGCTCTGTGGATATTCTATTATAGATCAATAATGAACTCCACAAGCTTTAAATGGGAACACAAGAATATACAAGTATCTGGAATTCGGAGATGACAAATTTTCTTTATCAAAGAAAACTGTATTTGCCAAAAAAGAAATGACTGTACATAAAAACTGGTATCAGAATAAGGCTTCTCACTGCCACGGAGTTGATGCTGCTCACAGTGAGTGACCTTATAGGCCAAGGTAGAATGCCCGCTGCGAGTTCCCACGTACTGTTTTCATCGAGCGAAGCCTGGGTGTGAGAATTCTGTATTTTTTTTTACAACTTATCAATATTTCATTTGGCTTGGTCAATTGGCCGGCTAAAGTTCACAGAGAGACTTGATAGCAGTTTCCCCAACTTATTTGTCCCACCTCCCCCTTTTCAGAAGAGTCTGCACGCCCTCTGACAATAAAAAACGTTCATGTTACAGCCCTACGTGAGGATAAAGTATAGGCATTGCGCTTCTGCAGGCCCTCTGAATCAGTCCAGTGCCCCCAGAGGGGAATTAGCACCACGTGAGGAAGCGCTGCTCTGTCCTCATTTGTTGAGTCAAGTCTGGGCCCTTAAAAACTGTACACAGACATCAAAGATCTAATTAGTGGTGGGAGTGGAAAAAATGAGGAGCTGACACCAAGGGCTCAAGTAGAAAGAAAATGTTTTGAGAATGATGATGGCAACAAACGTACAAATGTGCTTGACACAATGGATGGATGGATGTGATAAGAGTTGTACGTGCCCCCAGTAAAATGACTGAAAAAAAAAAAAAAGCGGTGTGTACTTGTCTGAGGCAGAGAGGAGGAAATGAAAGGCTCAGAAGAAATCAGTCCACACAAACTACGGGGCCAGCCCAGGTGGTGCTACCTCTCAACCATTCTGACCAGGGCCCCAATAGTGGGCTGCAGGTTAGATGGGGAGAAAAATGTAGACAACTCAAATTCATAAAAAACACACACCTAACTTAATGGACTGATTCAGGCTACTGTCCTAACCCATGGCCAACAAGTCAATCCTACTCTTAACAAGGATAAACCCAAACAAAAACTCACTGTCACTGAGGCAGTTTTGACCCATAGCGACCCTACAGGACAAGTTAGAACTGTCCCTGTGGGAGACCTTCAGTCTGTGAGAGTGGAAAGCCTCCTCTTTCTCCTGAGGAGTGGCTGGTGGTTTCAAACTGGTCACCTTGACGTTAGCAGCAAAGTCTAACCCACTATACCACAAGAGCTCCTCCTTTTCTAGTGACCCTATAAAAACGAAAACTCACTGCCAACATTCTGGGAGCAGGAAGCCTCCTCTTTCTCCTGTAGAGCCTCTGTTGTAACTTTGCAGTTAGCAGTCATACATGTAAGGCCACCCGAGCTCTAGTAAACCTCTAAGACGGCCTGGTCACCCCTGGAGATCACCTCTCAGGCAAATAACAGACTGGCCTATGAACAAAGCAGTCACACCTGGGAGTAACGTGCTGCAGAGAACAATCAACTCTCCACTCACTGCGGTAGCAACCATGTTGTGTAACAATTTATGTATAAACTGTTGACGGGAAACTGATTCTCTCTGTAAACTGTCACCTACAACACAATGAAAAAACAAGGCAAAACTGGCCCTCTTTTATCTTTTAAACCCGGAACGGAAGCCACTCCTGGAAATCACCTTTCAGCTTACTAACAGATTCCCAATTAGTACTATGCTTCTTTAGATAATCACCTACTGGAGACCAAGGGGCCAACAGTTGCCCTGAAGCAAAGATGAGGAGTGAGGGTGGGTCAGGGAAGCTGGCTGGCTGGCTGGAAACAAGTGGAAAGTGGAGTGATGCTTACTGCAAGACAGGTACAGAAACAGCACGGTGGAACCTCACTTGCTGTGTAAAGGTTCACCAAAGGCATTGTACAACTCTTCTTGTGAATTATATGCCAATACAACTTGGGGGGGGTGGGAATTAAATGAAAAGCCCCCCAAAACAGAAACTTGGCTGATAGTTTGAGCATATATAGAACTGCTTTCTGGTTAATTAATCAAACCCATCAGTCACTTCCTGAGAAGAAGATGAGTCATTCGGCTCTGTGAAGACTGACAGCCTCAGAAACCCACGGGGGCAATTCCACTGTTTTTAAATGATTATAAACCCAAACTCTCCTGAAAACACATTTCTTTCTCACAATCGCATTCACTGGCTGGGCTTTCTGCTTTTAAAACAATGAACAGCCTTTAAGCTTTTCTTGCACTAAAAACCCACCTACGCTACCAAGTCGATTACATGCCCAGTAAGTCGGTAAATCTTTATAGGAGCAGACAGCCTCAGCTTTTTCCCAGGGGGTAGCTGGTGAGTTTGAACAGTGGTAAACAGCCCAATATATTAACATACAGTACCACCAAGCACCTTTTCTTTGTACTGAAAGTAAAGTTCGTTAAGAACCATATACTCTTGTTCCTACTCACCGACCTATTGGACTTAATCAGACACCGGTGATTTGACTTGGAAACACAATCAGGACTGATCTCTTGGCCTGTAGTCAACAAAGACTGAAGCAAAGCGGGGTGAGGGGTGGGGGGGAGGTACTGACATGAAGTTGACAAGGGAAGAAAAATCTGAGCTTGAATGATTGTGATGCTACATATTTGGATTTGATCCTCGAAAATATGGAAGTAGGTTTTAAAATGTAACTTACAAGCAAACAAAAAGGTGTTGGTGAGAATGAGGGGGTCGAAGCGGAGACTCAAAGCCCATCTGTAGACAATGGGACATCCCCCCACAGAAGGGTCGAGTCAATCAGGATGCAGCAGAGCACCGATGGGTCACGCAATTTACCTCTGGTTCCTTGAGTCCTCCTCGTCCTCCCACTATCATAACCCCAGTGCTGATTCCCACTCTGGACTGGACCGGAGCATGTACATAGGTACAGCCAAGAGATAAAGCCCATGACTCATGGACCCCAGGAATAGGAATGGGAACAGCCAATACCAAAAGGGTAGGGGAGTGCGGGGAGAGGAGGGAAGGAAGGGGGCACCGATCACAATGAATGGCATAACCACACACCCTCTCCAGGGGGAAGAACAACAGAAAACAGAGGGGGAGGGAGACAGCAGTTGGCGTGAAATATTAACAATCTATAATGCATCAAGGGATGGGGGGAGGAGCTAATCCCAAGGGCTCAATAGGAAGTAAATGTCTAGAAAAGAACGGTGGCAATATATGTACAAATATGTCAGATACAATTAATGTACGGATTGTAACAAGAGTTGTAAGAGCCTCCAATAAAATGATCTTTTAAAAAATAATAAAATAAAATGTAACTCAGGAGACGATGTGATATTGAATCAGGACGTGGGGGACAGATATGAAATTAAAAAAATACATATCAGGTTTTTTCCCTTTTAAACTCACTTATTGTCAAAGCTTGAATCTGCAACAACTTGAAGGTTTTCCAGAGACGACCCGTCATTTACATGCAGGAACAAGACTTCCTTCTGAGATCGAACCGAACGGATCCACCCCTGAAGAGAAATATTTTCAATGTGAGGTCAAAGCACACATTTAACATCCCCTTTACACATACACACTCGGTGCCATTGAGCGATTCTGATCTCTGGCAGGGCAGAAGACACGCTCAGTCCTGACGGGAGCAGAGAGCTTCCTCTTTCTCCAGGGGAGCAGCTGACCTACTAGTTTGTAGCCCAAATGTAACCTATTATCCACCAGGACTCCTACATACATATAGGAGAAAGAACATGTGCTTACACTCCTGAGTCAACTGTTTTTAGTTCACCCACATGTGTATATATGCTATATGGCTCTCATTGTAGAGATACACACTACAGTACTCCATTTGTCCTTATCAGTATAGCTTATCATTTTGAATAGGTGCCTAATATCCCATCAAGCTCATAAGCAGAAGTGACAATTCCCAATGATGCTGGTTATTCCAGGTATTTCCTCCCAGCGCCCCCCACATTACAGCAGGGCACAAGTCTTAGTGCATATAACTTTCTCCTTTGATGTCAAATTTCCAGAAAGTGATTAGAAACACCTTTGAGATTTTTTTCTTTTAGAAAATATCACCAAAAAGAGCTCTCAAAAACCTCCATTATGAACATCATAATATGCCATACTTTCAGAAACACTGGATTTAAGAGATAAATACACGATGAGTCTTCATGTAGATACAAGGTTAACACTAGAAACAGCCCTCTAGGACCAGCCCAATTTAGAACTAAATTGTGCAGTCCTACATGTAGAACTAAAGGACAGGAGCAGGCACTTACTATGGAAGTATGCTGGAGAAGAGGAACATACTACTTTGAACATTATTGACTGTTACTTGCTTGATGTTCCCACAATATCTTGTAGACACTGGTATTAAGTCCCTTGCAGGAGAAAGATGGGCTTTACTCCCGTAGTTAGTCTCAGAAACACACATGGGCAGTTCTTACCCTGTCCCACAGGGCTGCTGAGTTGGCACTGACTCAATGGCAGCACGTTTTCGGATCATTTTATTTACGGAATCCTGGTGGTCCTGCCGGGTAAACGCCGACTGCTAACGACAAGTTGTTCAAAAAGATGTGGCAGTCGGTTCCCACAACAAGTTATAGCCTCACATACATCATGAGACAACTCGACACTGTCCTACAAGGTCACTATGAGTCAGAATCACTTTGATGGCCGTTTCGTGTTTTGGGATCTTTTATCTATTTGTTCACAGTGCTTTGAGACTGCAGCAGGGTTGATGCAGTTGAATTACGGTGTTGGCGAAGAATGTTACAAGTACTGGGGACTGCAAGAGCAAACAAATTTGCTTGGAAGAGCAGTCAGAATGCTCCTTAGAAGTGAAAATGGTGAGACTGTCACACACACTTTGGACATGTTACCAGGAGAGACCAGTCCCTGGAAAAGGACATCATGCTTGCTAAAACAGAAGGTCAAAAAATGGGGGAAGACTGTCAAGAAGGTGGAATTGCACCATGGCTGCAACAAGGGACTCAAACATGATGATTGTGAGGATGGTACTGGTGGGGTATTTCAGCTTCCTGTTCAGTCGGTCAGAACCCACTCCGCAGCACCTCCTCATAACGATTTAAAGTAACTGTGAGTTGCTTTGAGGGGCACTGGCAGGTAGAGAAGATAGTGCATGTTTTTCAATGAAAGAATA